ATTTTCAATAATTTTAAGAATTATTATTAAACTTTAACATGGCAAACTTTATTTAGAGAATGGAATTTTTTCACTTTTAAATTGGGAGTTTGAATTTTATGAGCATTTGGGAATACCACGTTTGACGGGGTCCCACAGGGCTAGTTTATACCCTAATACAAATATGCATGTGTATATTGATAGTTATTATGTATAGCATATATAGTATATTGATTTAATATACTGACTTTTAATGACATTTATTTATAATGACACATAATAATTTATTCATTATTGTATAATATATGCATTGAATAATGTGAATATACTGATAAAAAAAGTTTGAGTATATTGATGCAATATACATAAATATCTAAATAGATGTTTATGTGTATATATATATATATATATATATATATATATATATATATATATATATATATATATATATATATATATATATATCAGGGTGTTACCCAGCCTGATGGCACCGCGTATAACGCGGTATTATCAATCGGTTTAAAATTCTCAAAGGTTTATAAGATCAAAGTAAAAAAAAAAAAAAAAAATAAGTCAGTCTCAGAATTTAAATGTCGCGCTAGACTAGTGAAAATTAGTATGCATAGTAAAAATTAGTATACTAATTTTTACTTTGCATACTAATAAAAAAAATCGATTAATTTAATTCATTTACATATATGCAAATGAATTAAATTGATCGATTTTTTTTATGTGTAAAAATGTGTCGTCATTAACAAACGTCATTAACCTTAACAATATCATTCATTCAAAAGTTAAAAAAAACTTTTTTTTAAATTTTTATTGACGTCGCTTCTTGAGATCAGATATTTCTTTTTTTTTTTTTAATTTTTTTAAATTGCGCTTTTCTCAAAATATGTAATTAAGGCGTTTTGAAAAACGACTGCAGTATATCAAAAACAAAGAAAAGAAGCGATTTAAATGAAAACTTTAGAAGATTGCTCATAATGAAACAAGTTGATTAATTTAAATTAAACATATATAAAGTAGAAAAATAATCCTGCTGTAAATATAACTTTCAGAATAGAAAATTTATTTTGATTAAAATTTAATTGCAGAATGTAAGGAACTTTTTTTTTTTAGCCGCACCTAAATTCCTAATTTCGCAAAAACGCAGTATGAAATTTTTTCCTGGCTAAGACCCTGTATATATATATGTATATATATATATATATATATATATATATATATATATATATATATATATATATATATATATATATATATATATTTCGTGGCAAATCCACGAAATATTGATAGCGAAATACAGCTTTGTTTTTCGCTATCAATATTTCGTGGATTCAATATTGTTGTTGATCACAACCTTGCATCTTTGAGGCATAGATTCGATCAGGTGATCAATGAAACTTTGTGGAATCGCTGCCCAGGCCTTTTGGATTTGTTCAAACAGTTGATCCTCATTACGAACACCTTGACGATTAATTCTGCGGTTAACAATCTCCCACAGGTTCTCGATAGAGTTGAGATCGGAGATTAAGGTGGTCAATCCATCGGAGATTAAGGTGGTCAATCCAAAACAATCCGGCTTCAACAGCTTGTTGTCTGATTGTTCGGTCCGATACAGACAGCTCTAATTGCTTTTGTATCTCAACTGATGATATCCAGGGATCCTTCTTGACGGATCTGACAATCATAGAATCATCTCTAGAAGTGGTGGAACGCGGTCTTCCACCTTCGCTATCTGCTGCCAACTTCCCCATAGAACGATATTTGGAACATAGTCTTGATACGGTTCATTTTTCACATGATATTTATCACAAATACTTTTTTGTGACATTCCACTTATGTAATCGCCAATAATTTTCTTTCTTAGTTCCAATCCAAGACTGTCAGGAGCTATTTTTGCATTTGAAGTCATAAAAATAATAAAAATAAATAATCACGGTTCTCAAGGCTTACCGTGTTACATTTACCTTGTGATGATACAATAATGCTCTGTGGAGCACAACGTCTTGGTTGGATGTGGACTGTATTGATGTAATGAAACACTTGTTGTATTTCACTTCTTGTATTGATGTTCTTCGATAAAACACTTTGATAAAACTCACTTCGATAAACTATCTTGATAATACTGACTGATTGACTTCCATATACTGACTGAATTACATGTCGGGTCACTTATATAGTAAAATAAACCTGTGTGAACCTGTTCTGGAAGATTCTAGATGCTTCTTTTTAATGCTTCTGGAAGCTTTTGAATGTATCTGGATACTTCTGGATGCTTCCAGATGCTTCTTCTGGATGCTTCGAGATGCTTCTTCTGGATGCTTCCAGATGCTTCTTCTGGAAACTTCTGGATACTTTCTTTAATTATTAAAAAACTTCCGTGACGTTGACATGACACCATGACACCAGACATAAGAAAATGAAACAAACCAAAAGTTGCACTTGTTTTGTCCGCTGCAAAATGGCACTTGTCAACGAAACTCTGCCTGTGTGCTGTCACCTGTCAGCTAATTGCTCATGTCATGGCATGCTATGACTCCAGACTCCTGAACTGTTTGCTGTGGTAGTATCGTTTTTAAGACATGTAAATTTAACACTTTTTAGCATTGTTTGATGTTGGTTGCAAATATTTTGTCTAATACTTTATATATATATATATATATATATATATATATATATATATATATATATATATATATATATATATATATATATATATATATATATATATATATATATATATATATACAAGCCTTCCCAGGAAAGGCGTGCGGTTTTTTGTCTCGTATGACCACACACGATTATAATATTTTAGAAAACGCGAACACGGCTGTTTGCAAGTTTTATAATAATGATGAAAAAGTTTCAAAAACAAAAAAACAAAACTAACAAAATAAAAAGAGATTGAAATAGGAAAAAATAAAAACAAATTAATAATGTAAATAATTTGTGTACTTTTTTTATTTTTGTTTTTTTAGAGTTACATTCAGCAACAAAATTAAATAAGACGAAGCAAAAAAAAAAAACAGTTTGAAGTCTACAATAAAAAGAATGATTTTCCTTTTCTTAATTTTTTTAAAGAGGATAGCAAAAATACAAATTGCAATGTGTTTGCAAAATTTATTTGTATAATTTTAATGTAACAACAAGGGTTGAATTAAGCGAATGCAAAACACAAAATCTGGAAAAATATCTAGTAATCAAAATTCTAGTTTATACAAAACCGTGTTCATTGTTTTTAAGGGGAGAATCAACTTAAATTTGTTAGCGAAAAAATAAATAATAAAACAATAAACTTACGATTACAAAAGTAACAACACTCTAGTAACTAACTGCATTACAAAAGTAATAACACTATAATAGTGTTTTTACTTTTATAACACACTTATAACTTTTAAAATTCATTCTTTGTTCAAGCAACATTAGTATTCCCAAATTTTAATTAAAGTAGAAAAATATCTAGAAGAATAAAGTGGATGTTCAAATAATATTAAAATTAAAGTGACTTATAAAAACGTGACAAACAGTTTTATGAAAACGTATTGTATTAAAAGTTTAGAATTATGAAAAATGTTATTAATGGACCGTAAAAATGCGCGTTAATTTTAAAATTAACGTGCGTTTTTACGTAACGTTTTTCATAATGCTATACTTTTTATAAAGTAACGTTGCTTAAGCGATATGTGAAAGTTCCTGAAATTTTTAATAATATTTGAACATCCGCTTTATTTTTTCTAGATGCTTTCTACTTTAATAAATGTTTGGAATTAATAATGTTGTTTGAACAAAGAATGAATTTTAAAAGTAATAAGTGCTTTATAAATGTAATAACACTATTATAGTTTTATTACTTTTATAATGCAGTTAGTGACTAAAGTGTTTATTACTTTTGTAGTCATAAGTTTATTGTTTTTGTTTTGTTTTTTGTAACTTTCTCGCTAGCAAACTTTTAATAATTTGCTTCTTGTAAACAAAGTACACACCTTTGCATGAACTAAAAATTTATAGACCTAATATTTTACCATATTTTGCAAATGCGATCGTATAATTTAACTCTTGATATGAACTTGTTACATTATAATTATACAAATATATTTTACAAACAGATGACGATACATATTTTCTCTTTCCTCTTTAAACAAAAAAAACACACAAAATATGGGAAAGTCATCCTTTTTAACGCCTAAAACCGTTTTTTTTTTTTTTTTTTTTTTTTTGCTTTGACTTAATGAAATTTGTTGCTGATAATAATAACCACTAAGAAAAACAAAAATAAAAACAACACACAAATTGTTTAAACTATTATTATTGTTTTCTATTTAAGTTTACTTTAATTTCTTAGTTAGTTATTTCTTAGTAGTTATTAAATTTAAAACAACTTTACAGTAATGCATATAACTTGCGCAAATAGCCGTGATCACGTTCTCTAACTTGAAAAACATTTTCGTGGTTGTAGGAGAAAAAAAACCGCACGCCTTTCCTGGGAAGGCTTGTATATATATATATATATATATATATATATATATATATATATATATATATATATATATATATATATATATATATATATATATATATATATATATATATATATATATATATATATATATATATGTATGTATATATCGGTTAAGTGACTTTTTATCATTTTTTAATTTTTAAATTATTCTGTAAGCGGTAAGATAAAAGAAGTAATTAGTTTTTAAAAAAAGCACATAAGCTTTTGAATGACGTTTATGTAAAAATATTTGTTACAAAAGTTTGAATGACAATTGTTAGATATAAGTGCTATTTAATGATGAAAAAATCTCAAATAAAATTAAAAATTTATTCTGTATCAAAGTTATTCCTAGTTAACACCCTGTGCACATAATGCTTAGATATAACTATTTATATACTAAATACTAACATGTGCATAAGTAAAATATTTGTTTTGTGATTAACCATATCTAAAATTAACTTGTATAATAATTAAAAAAATTATTGCCAACAAACACTTTGTTACTTATGATCACCTTAGGAACTTGAGGAGTCTCACTAACACCTTTTATAGGCTCTGGAGCAAACAAATACAACTCTCGTATTTCTTCTTCAGAAAAATGTCGTTCTATTTGTTGCTCATCAACAACTCTTCCTGCTGTTGCAAGCTTTGTAATCTGTCTTTCATAAATTTTTTCTTCCATTGTTCCCTTAAAAAAAATTCATAAATTAACTTCAACCATCTTTCATAATCTTCAACCTGCTCATCATCAAACAAAAATTTTACAACTTATAACTTCTAAATTAAAAAACAAAAATAATAAACCTGAGCAACGAATCTGTAGACATAAACTGGTTTTTCTTGTCCAAAACGATACACTCGAAAAACCGATTGAACATCATGTGATGGATTCCAAGAACAATCAAATATGATGACACGATTAGCTCCAACCATGTTAATACCAAGAGAACCAGCACGTGTTGAAATTAAAAATAAACGACATCTAAAAGTTAAATTATACATTCAAAGCCAACTAAAATGTTACTGCTAATATAACAAATTAGAATAGTTTAGATTGCTGTAACGTCTATAACACAAATTTTAGCTTTGGTAACAAGAATGACATTAATCTAGTCTAAGTTGCAATAAAAAAATATGTCAATTAAACTAAGATTAAAAAATATGTCAAATAAACTAAAAAAATATGTCAATTAAACTAACTTTAAATAAATCAATTAAACTAAGTTGGCCTTTGCACTATAACAAATCAAAGTTATAGTATTTAAAAACTTTGGCATATAAAATTCGCCGAATGGTCACACACGAGCAGTGAACGCCTGAGGGAAGAAATGAAGTACATTAGAATAAAGGAGAATTATTTATTAGACAAAGCATTTTTGACAGTTGTCAAGACAAAAATAAAAAATTAATAGAGGAATATTTAAAAATAAATAAGACAAGCTATACAACCAAAACAGTACTCAACCATAATAACAATAAAAAAAAAAATAAATAAATAAATAAATAAATAAAAAAAAAAAAAAAAAAAAAAAAATAAAATATATATAAATAAAAAGAAAAACAAATAATAATAAAAAATATATATATATATAAATAAATAAAAAAAATTGTTTTATAATTACCAATATGAACTAAAATATACAAGAAATACATAACCAGTCAAAAATTTGTAAAACAAAAAACTATTCAACAAATTAAAAATATGCTAACGACAATGAAAGGACTAATAATGGAAAAAAAACATTAATGCTAATGTGTAAACATAATTAGTGTAGTGATAAGTAATAAACATCTCCTCAGAGTCGCGTCTATTATTACTGGCGTTTCGATGAGGATCAGCATTTATAACTAGTTTATCCCGTCAGACAAATGTCATTGCCACTTATGCTTTACCCCGCGACTTACGCCTATTCCATACTGCAGTAAAAAAGGACTCACTACAAATAGCCAAAACCCAACCAACCCCAAATTTGTAAAGCACCAATATTTCTTTTGATGATATGATATAAACAGTATAGAATTACTGAACAAATAAAAATAAAAATAAATAAAAAAAAAAAAAAAAAAATTAAAATAAAAAAAAAAAAAAAAAAAAATTAAAATAAAAAACTTACCATACAACCAAAAGAAAACATGAAAAACAAAATAAATTAAAATTCTAATAGAAACATAAAAATATTAATCAATTAATTTTAAGAAATAAAACCAAGTAGGTATTATTATCAGAAAGTAGTATACCTCATTAGAAAAAATTTTTTTAATCAACAAAACAACAACAGCCCTAAATAAACTCTAACGCTGTCATAGATACCTCATTCGAAATATGATAACCAATCAAAAGTGTAGGAAAATGAGTAACCCGCGAAACCCAAAATCATAACATTAATAGAATAATATATGATAGCGAAAAAGAACGTTGCACAAAAACCTTAAAAATGTAAGCGACATATATGTAAACATTAAATGAAGGATATAAAAATATTCTCTGAATAATAGTAAAGATGAAAATTGTGCATGTGAAAATTAAAACAAAGCTGAGTAATGAATTCAAGATAATGTAACATGAAAGTTTCTGTAAACAGTAATAATATGAAAATCAGGAGATAAGTAATATATTAATAAATATAGCAATAAGACTAACTAAATATTGTAATAAAACCAGATAATTTTAAGCCAAATGAGTGGTTGAAAAATTAGTTGTGGGTTATATAACAATGATATAAATCGTGATATAAAAACGATGAAGAAAGCGGGAAAAAAAATTGTTAAGAAATGAAGTTTTCTCTACGGTCCGAACTAAAAGAAACTTTGAGACCATATCTAAATCGAAATTTCCGAAAAGTAAAGTTTTCTCTACGGTCCGAATTAAAAGTAACTTTGAGACCATATCTAAATCAAAATTTCCGAAAAATAAAGTTTTCTCTACGGTCCGAATTAAATGTAACTTTGAGACCATAACAAAATAACAAGGAAAAAGATACTTCATAAAAACAAGTCGAAAGCCACTAGTTTATAAGAATCGCTCTTATGCTTATATGTATATGCATATGAATCCTTTAATGAAAAATTCAATCACACATGATAAACACATATAGATAACATATAAATCTGTATCTACAATTCAACAACATATCTATTAAAAGAAAATATTATCTAAATAAGGATGAGTTCAAACAAAGATAGTTTATCTATGAAAGAACAAAAAGCATGCAAAAGATGTAAACAGGCTGTATGTGCATAAGGGTGTATAGGTGTAATGTGTAAGTCTGTGCTGTTTATGTCGTTCAGTAGAGTCTTGTATTGTTAGTAACCAGCGTAAAAGATTTGTCTGTGAACCAAACCAAGCAAGCCCAGCTATACTCCAGAAAACCATGATGGATTAAACACCTATGCATGGATTTATAACTGACTTATGACTAAAAAGCTAGCCAAGGCATCTTCCACAGACAAAAATCCTCTTTCGAGGTGACAGTAATTGCGATTAGGAAAATAGTCGTGCTCGATGACCGTAACACTAACCCTTACGGGCTAGGCCCAATATTATTTAAAAACTTTGGCATATAAAATTCGCCGAATGGTCACACACGAGCAGTGAACGCCTGAGGGAAGAAATGAAGTACATTAGAATAAAGGAGAATTATTTATTAGACAAAGCATTTTTGACAGTTGTCAAGACAAAAATAAAAAATTAATAGAGGAATATTTAAAAATAAATAAGACAAGCTATACAACCAAAACAGTACTCAACCATAATAACAATAAAAAAAAAAAAAATAAATAAATAAATAAAAAAAAAAAAAATAAAAAAAAAAAAAAAATATATAAATAAAAAGAAAAACAAATAATAATAAAAAATATATATATATAAATAAATAAAAAAAATTGTTTTATAATTACCAATATGAACTAAAATATACAAGAAATACATAACCAGTCAAAAATTTGTAAAACAAAAAACTATTCAACAAATTAAAAATATGCTAACGACAATGAAAGGACTAATAATGGAAAAAAAACATTAATGCTAATGTGTAAACATAATTAGTGTAGTGATAAGTAATAAACATCTCCTCAGAGTCGCGTCTATTATTACTGGCGTTTCGATGAGGATCAGCATTTATAACTAGTTTATCCCGTCAGACAAACGTCATTGCCACTTATGCTTTACCCCGCGACTTACGCCTTATTATATGCATATTACAAAAGTATAGTAGTTAGTTTCACAAATACTAAGTATAGTATTTGAATTTTTCAAACAGATTTAACTTTAAGACACAGACCTCTCATTTTTAGGATCATTAAATATCTCTGCCCAACGCGTTCTTTTTTGAACAGATGTTGAGCCATCCATTCTAAAGTAATCAACACCATGACACCATTTGCATAGATTGTCATTTTGTATATCAGAAAGTGTTGCTTCAATCAAATTTAAAGTACAAAGACTTTGACTAAATACAAGAACTTTATCACCAACAACTTCTGCATCTGCAAGAATTTCACAAAGAAGAATTAGCTTTCCACTTAATTCATTATTATGTTGGTCTTCAGGAATGAGAAAATCATCGTACCAATCTTTTTCAAAATCATTTTCATCATTTTGAACATCAGATTTGTAACATACTCCAGATCGTAAAATGTCATTTTTAATATTGTTGTCAATGTTTTTATCAAACTCATCTTCATCTACTTCATCATCTATTTTTTTTAAAGCTACTGAACTTCGAGTTTGTCGTGAATATGTACCGTGTTTGTTTATAACCTCGTCATCAGAACTACTATCGGAACTGCTAGTATCATTCATTATTATTTTTTTTTTATTATTTTTTTTAATTTTCACATCTTCCTCACTACTGGTATCTATTGACCAAGGTTTTATAGGTATAGAGTTTTCTTTTTTAATGACATCAGATAGCTCCCCTGAACTACTTTCAGAGTCATTTAAAAATTCTTCAATACTATCTTCTTTATTTATATCTCGTAACCTTTGTCGCTCACGTTCAAGATGTAAAGCCCAAGGATGAGTCCAAATTTTTGAAAGACACTGGAAGTCAGAAAAAAGTGATACACCTATAATACATAATTTTTTGTTATCAAAATAATATTCATGATAAACTATAAAAATTCATATTAAAATAACATGGTTTTAAAATCTTACCTTTAATCTTAGATTGCCCATCAGAATTGACAAAATTTTCCAAATAATACTTGTACATTTGGATTTGTTTTTCATGTAAACGTACAAAAATTGTAAACTCACGCTTAGGAGGTAAAAATGGTGTTAACACAGAGTAATCTTGGCGCTAAATAAGAAAAAGTATAAATTTAAAAAATAATAATAATATAAATTATATAGGATAGCTGATTATGTGTTCATCAGCTATCCTATACAATTTATATATGATAGCTGATGAGAAGGCTCATATTTTAAAGCACATCAATCCACACTATTATAGGATATTACAGGGCTTTTTTTGGCTATATATATATATATATATATATATATATATATATATATATATATATATATATATATATATATATATAATGCTTGATTAAATAAATAAATCCTATTTTTTTATTATTGAGCACTCTTATAGGTACAAGAGTTTATATATTTTATTTATAAATACAAAAATCATTTAATTATATCTATATCTATATCTATATATATATATATATATATATATATATATATATATATATATATATATATATATATATATATATATATATATATATACACTTTGTACAGAAAGTTTAAACACACTTGTTTTTTTAAAAGTTAAGGTGTTTAAAGTGATACAAAGAGAAAACATGAGGCAGGGTCCAAGTTTTTTTTTTTTAATATTCTTAGTCGATTATTAATTAAGAAAAAAACACAACTTTGAATAAGAAAAACACAAAATATTTTCTGAAATTATACAACAAACTCAAGTAATCAAAAGATTACTTAGAAGAAAGTTCAATAAAGTTTAAATGCACCTACAACTTCTTTTATTCGAAATATATTAATACGGAATATGATCCCTGTTGTTTTTAATACATGCTTGTATTCGCCTTGGCATTGATTCGATTAAGTTTTCAATCATCTTGATTGGTATTTCAAGCCACAGTTTGGTCAGTTCTTGTTTGAGCATTTCTTGACTAGTTATTTGCTTTTTTGTTGATAATCCATCCAGCTCCATAAATTTTCAATTGGGTTTAAGTCTGGTGATCGTGCTGGCCAAGACATAAGTTTAATATTACTTTTAAGGAAATAATCAGTGATTGAATGCGCAGTATGGCATGGAGCATTGTCTTGTTGAAATAACCAGTTTTTATCAGCCAGGAACAAATCGCGACTAGGGATAAGCGTTTTCCAAAATGTCATGATACTCATACTGGTTTAATCTTCCTTCGTATACTTTATAACAGCCAACGCCTGAGCCTGATATACATCCCCATATGGCAACGAAACCACCGCCTTTTTGAATACGGCTTAATAGGTGTTGCTTCAAATATTTTTCTGTATTTTTACGACGAACAAATCTCTTATTTTTTCTGTTAATAATTTCGAAATTTGATTCATCACTAAAGATAATCATTTTCCATTGTTCTACTGAATAATTTAAACGCTCTTTGCACCATTTTTTTCGTCTTTGGCGATCGGTTAACGTCAACAAAGGCTTTCTTACACAATGAAACAAATTTAATTCTTTCTTGCGTAATAACTTACTTATAGTCATTCGACTAACTGTTTTGTCTACCAGCAAACTATTGATTTCTGCACTTAAAGTTGATACTCCCGCTTTTGGGCTACGTCTGCTTAGCATGTAAAGCATGTTTTCATTGCGTGCTGTCAGTTTTTTCGGACGCCCAGTACAAGGTTTATCATTGACACTACCAGTTGATAAATAATTTTTTGTTGTTGTACGAACGCTGAATTCAGAAATATTTAGGCGTCTGCCAATTTCTCTATTGCTTATTTTCATTTTATGCATTTCAATGACTTGCCATTTTGTTTTCGACGAAACAGCTTTTTTACCCAACAAAATATTATATTTTGACAAAGCTGTATCAGTTGAAAATTGCTATATTTTAAATTAAATCGCATTTGTGGTTTTTATTCTAAATAAAATAAGAATAGGAACCCAAATGAAATATACTAACGTTAACAGGCTGTTGAGTGATAAAAATGCAAAAGACTTCAATAAAAAATCTCTCAATAAACGAATTTTACGCATTTTCTTTTCAAAGTGCGTTTAAATTTTATTTCAAAAAATTGAAAAATGTTAATTGCTCCTTTACTTTTCTTATCACTCTCCACCTCCGTTATAATATTCATACAATTTTTTTTCTATCTAAACTAATAACTTATAGCCATAGTATAAATAAACATAAAAATACATAGCATATCTCATTAATTTATCGGGTTATCATTTCTTAAAAGTATTATATAATTTAAAAAAACAAGTGCGTTTAAACTTTCTGTACAAGGTGTGTATTTTTTTGGCAACCTCAAACACTTTTTTTTAGCAATGACTCAAATATACATACATATATATATATATATATATATATATATATATATATATATATATATATATATATATATATATATATATATATATATATATATATATATATATATATATATATATATATATATATATATATTATAAATTTTATATTTGAATATTGTAAATTGTTGTTGAGGACAATATAAGTTAAGAAAAAAATTACCTTTTTTTTTTTGCGTTTATTTTTTACTGAAGTAGCTTATTTTACCATATTTGTGCATTTTTAGGTAAGTAGTTTTAACAAATAAGCTTTATACATGAAAATAAAGTTGGTTTTATACACAATAAGACAGAACTGTATTTTTAATCTGAAAATTATTCCACAAATATTTTTTTTTAATATATTCTACAGTCGGAGCATCATAGAGGGTTTTTAACAATATCTCTTCGTAGAGTTTGTTAATCATTTTCTCCTCCTGAGCTTTTTTTTGTTTAATAAGATAATCTGATAAAATTTTTGTGTCCTGTTTGCTTTCTTTCTTTTCATCTCCCTCCTTAAAGAATTTTTTTGAGATAACCCATTTTTTATCCTCTAATTTGCTGTAGTTTCTTAAAAAACCTTAAGGATTACAGTTGCATTAAACTGTTTTGAAAACTTTGAATGAAAAAAACAATGTTGATTTAAACAATATAATTTAAAATGAGACTCAACTAAATTAATTTAAGACATTATTAGCGTAAAACAATGGATAATTCTAAATAGTTTAAAAAAAAAAAAAAAATACAAAACATTGTTTTAAAACACTTTCCAAATGTGTCAATAACCGCATAAATTATTTTTCTATTAATATTTAATGTTTATTTAACTAAATACTTTTTTTAATGATTATGTCTTTCATCATTATGATAAATTTTTAAGTTGTAATGCTAAAAATGATTTTTTGATATTTTAGCTAACACACAGTACATCTGTATATATAATGGAGTACCGAGTCACAAAGCCAAGCCTGTAACAAAATATTTAAACAAAAAAATTGACATCTTGGTATGGCTCAGAAATTTTCTGGTTATGAATTCAATAGAGATTGCCTGGGAGCTTTTGAAACAAGAAACTGCTAAAAATGTGATTAATACAAAGTTTTTAATTGTTTTAACAGGTGATAAGTAATTATCTGGAATGACTTTGTTTTGAAATAATTAGTTCATTTCTTACACATGGACAAATTATGTGATTTTTATTAATAAACTAGATTTATAATAACACACTACAAATCTCACATTGATCTTTCTAAATTATTTAAAAACTTTCAATTATAAACCATGTCTGAAAAAAAGCTCTTACAAAAACAAGTTTTATGAAAATAATATAAATGATAGAATAAAGTACAAAGTTGATCATTTTATAGCTAAAGGAGCAAGCAAATTAATCATTTATGATATAATTAAGCATTATGTAAATCAACAACCAAAAGCAGGCAAAACTTTATTTTGATTTTTTTTTTAATTGAAAAAAATCATAATAAAAAACTAATTTCTTTTGAAAAATTTTTTGAAAGAAAATTTGAATCAATTGAGACAATCGATAAACAATAAAAGTGGTTTATCACAAAAAAAATTAGCCAAAAAATTTAATTGTAGTCAACTGTATGTTTCAATGGTTCTAAATTATAAACTATTAGGAATTAATTGTTTCAAAAAAACTAAAATACTAGATCGAAGTTTTGTTCAGTTGGTGCAAAAGCCGTTTCCTTTATATGAATTACAAAAATCATGATTGTGTTTTGGATGATGAATCTTATTTCACACTATCATATTTAACTATTAATTGAAATGGATTCTATTATACTGATAATAAAACAAATGTTTCTCCATCAATTTTTTTGAAGCTAAAGTACTAGTTTGGATAACATTTTCTTGTTTATTCATAGAGGGATGAAGTCTCGATTGGGTTGCATAGGTCGAAAAGAAAACTATAGAAGATAATTGAATAAAAAAAAGCATTAAATATGCTTAAAAACTTTTTTAAAATGTTATTATTTTTACTTTTTATTGAAATGTACAGATATTTTAAACTCATTTGGGATTATTACTTATCCCCCATTATTTAACAAAGTTTTAGTTAAATAACTGCATATATCAAGTAAGTGTAAACAACAATTCAAAATTTTTATACTCTATAACAATTAATTATAAAATTTTTACAATATTTAATTATTTATTTATAAAATTTTTATTTATAAATCTAATAATAAACATTTAAAAACAAGAATGTTTATTATTAGAAAAACATTATCAACCTGAACGCAGCCAGAAAGCATTTGATAAAGCACATGGCATCTCTGTTTCATAAGTCTAACATCAGAAGGTGTTGAGTTAGAACACTGACCATTTTTAATTGGATTGACAAATCGATTTAAAAATTCTTTCTTAGTTCCAAGAAGTTTTGGTTTCACAAAATCAACCATACAATGATCTAAAATTTATTTTTTATACAAAACAAAAATATTTACATAAATAAATGAAATAAACAGGCTAAATGTTCAAAATAAATTTTTGGTTGACTTAAAATTTTATACAAAGAGAACATTTTATTCTTAGTTATTTTATCTAAAAAAATATTTTTTTAAACATATATTTAGTTAATTTAAAAAACTCTTGCTGATTATAAATGCAAAAGTAATATTAAAAATACTTATTTTTTTTTTTAAATTCTTTATTTTAATTTGAATTACTTTGAAGGAAAAAAACACACACACACTGAAATTACTTTAATATTGACACTAAAAGTAACTACTCGGGTAAAAATGAAAATAACATGAAATATAATTGTAAGCTGCACTAAAAGCAACTACTTGGATAAAAATGAAAATAACTTGAAATATAATTGTAAGCTGCTACACAAAAGAGGCAGTGGTTTATTATCCATCTTTATCTCAGCAACAGCTTTTTAAAAGATTTATTTTTATAACTTGCACTTTATTTTTTCAACAATAATAGCAATATAGTTTTGATTATAAAATTCAAATATAAAGCAATTTAAAGGTAGAAAAAAATAAAAATAAATTAAAAAAGTACACTCAGGCAAGTTGTTCTGTAAAGGTGTACCAGTCAATACAATTCTTCGCTTGGTTGCAATTGAATTCACTGCCTTTGAAATAGCAGAGGTCACATTTCTTAATACATGCCCTTCATCACAAACTACCAATTCTGGTCCTAAGATATTATCAACAATATTTTATATAAGATAGGGCAGAAACAAAATACAATTAACACTCTACAATTATTGTATATATTTAACCTGGCTCAACAAGAAACTTTTTAACTTCATCACGAGTTTTTTTAGATCTAATATGAGTACCATTAACTAGATTTCGATACATTTCATAACCCAAAATTAGAACACCACCGCATTTATACCAGTCCCGTAATATAGAAACCCTTTCTTTTTTATCCTTTGCATACGAAAGCACATATATCTAGCAATGCAAACAAAAATATTTGAATTAACTAAAAAAATCAACTCCAAAAGCGAAAAAAATTTCAACATACAGAATTGTAAAAATTACCTACATTAATCTGTTCATCTTTGGTAAGCCACTTTTCAAATTCCTGCTCCCAGTTCAATACAGTATTAAGAGGTGCAATTACAATAAATGTTTTCATCTGAATATTTTTACTGTTTATCATTGTATGAATAAATGCAACAATCTATAATTATCATTCAAAATACGATCTAAAAACTATCAAAATATACTAATGTAAACTAATGCCAAAAAAAAAAAAGTTAAATATTATATTAAAAAAAAGATTAAAAAAAAATATTTGAAAATACCTGTAATGTTTTTCCAAGCCCCATACAATGAGCAAGTAAACAACCACCACCTTCATCCCCCTTTTTAAAATTTTTTACAGATTCAATGCAACAATCATACATAAACTGAACTCCTTTACGTTGATGAGGTTTTAAATGTTTGTTTATAGCAATATTTACAGATACCAAGGCTTGTTGGTCAGTGTTCCTTTCAAGTACAAACTCCCCATCTTCAGCACTTATAATATGTTCAAAATTTTTCTTTTCTTCATTAATGCGCTCAAGTAGCCTTTTTTTTCTCTGCTCTTCAACTTCTCTTGCACGAATTGTTTCTTCATTCAGTTCATTGTCCTTTAAAATTTTACGAATTTTTTTGCGCCCTTTGCTTGGTGCTTTTATATCTGAATCTGAATCACTAACAATTTTTTTTTTTGCTGCTTTTTTGCTTTTTAATCTTTTTCTTTTTTTAGATTTAGAAATGGTATTTTCATCATCATCGTCAGTGGTAGTTGTTTTATTATCAAGAGAACAATCAGAGTCTTCATCTGATACTTTCATGCATATTTTTCTGCGCTTTTTCAAAGGTTTTCCACCTTGAATATTATTTTCTTCAGAGTCACTGCTAACTATTTTATGTTTAAGATTGAATGATTCATCTGTGTCTTGGTCAGTTTGTTCACTAAATTCTTCATCTGAATTACCTTCTTCATCTTCTGATGAACTGTCATTTGAATCTAACTGGCTGGACACATCTGATATGTCATCAGTAATTTGTACTCTTTTTGTTTTATGAACTTTTTCATTTTTATTTTTAAACTTTTTATGATTTAAGTCATTTGCTTGATCCTCAATGTCAGCTGTAAAGTCTGTTTTTATTAAATTACTTTTACGCTTCCTCAAACTGTGTTTCCTTTGCGCATCTGGAACATCTGATGTTGATTTTTTTATTTTAACATTATCACTACTTTCTATAACTTTGGTATTTGATGTTTCAGGATTAAACTGAACTGTTTTAATAGATGAACTTGGAAGTTTTTCAACAACAACTTTAGGAGTTAGTATTTTAAAATTCTCAGTGTCAAATTGCACCAGACCACTTTCGTTACTAGATTTTGTGACACAAGATGAGTTACAATTATCATCATTAGGAGTACTATTAAATTGTTCAATAGAAGTTTGAATAGGTAAAACTAACAAACTGCTACTAGTTTTATCGGGTGAAACAAACAAATTGTCTTTGTCAATATTTTTTTTTTTTTCAGTTGAAAATGAGATCTCAGACTCACCCATATAATTGTTATTTACAGTCTCTTTGTTACATCCTTTTTCAATTAATAAATCTTCAGATATATCATTTAATTTACTAATACAAGGTTCAGAAAATATTTTTGTTTCAAACTCATTTTTTACAATATAATTTGAAGAAACATTTTGATCGCTTTTATTTGATTTGTTTATTGATGACCCTACATTTTTTTCAGAAGTTATTTCGGAACTTTTATGTTTTTTTGAGGCTAATTCTCTAATTTTTTGCATTTTATTACGAGGTCTAACACCTGAAGGTCCAGGTTGTTGATCATCATTTGTAATCTTTTTAATTTTATCTTGATTAACTTTCTTTTTACTAAAATATTGATCAGATTTTTTTTCATCTTTATTTACTAAATCATTATAAAGTAAAGTTCCAATTTGACTAGATGATTTATTAACATGTTCTATTTTAATATTTTCTGTTGGTAAAATTGAATTGTCTGCTTGATTGAAATTTATTTCCACATTTGTGTGCTCTGTATCACTGTGATCAGATAAACAGCTTTTGTTGTCAGAAATATAACTATCATCTTCAATATCTACATTTTTTTTATTGAATTTGAGTCTCAAAAAACTGTTTAAAGTTTTTTTTGGTTTATTAGTTTTAAATTTCTCTTGATTTTCTTGTTCTTGTAACGAAATTTTTACAAGTTTTTTTACCATATTTAATGTAGTTTTACTTATTGTTTCACGCTTTCCACTCTTTTTTAAGACAACGATTTCAGTATCAGAATCATCCTCATCGTCTTCACTGGATAGCACTATGACTTTCTGCTTTTTAATTTTTTTTACTTTATTAAATAAATTATCAGGGCTTAGGGAAGATTCATTACCAAAATCATTTTTAGAATTTATATTTGTTTGTTTAGTTTTAGATTCAATTTGATGTTCACTTTTCTTTTTATCTTCACTACAACCTTTGATTTTACTTTCATCTCTACAATAGTCTTTACTTTTTTTATTGCTTTTAGCATCTTTATGCTCAGTTAAGTTGTTAAAGCTTTCTTTTGATAAATTTTTTTTAATTTGACAATTTTGATTATGATCATTGATTTCGCTGGTAATCTTGGTAGTCAGAATTGTGTCTTTATTTTTTTCTTTCAAAAGCTGCATATTAGCAATATAATTCATCACCAAAGAACAGTCTTTAACAAATAATTCTATTTGATTTTTATCACAAACAAGACATTTCCATTTTAAACTTTCACTTGTATCAACAATAGCTTTCAAAAAATCTTTTCCTAAATTTCTTTTTATGCAGTATTTGCAATATGCTTTTTCACAGTAATCACAACAAACCAAATTTCCACCATCGCCACACCAAGTGCATTGTTCTTCTACACCAATTTCATCATGTGTAAACGTTGTTGAGTTCACAAAGTTTAAGCAGCTCTATCAAAAAAATAAAATCCATGAGCAGATTATAAAATGTTTTCTATAGAGACATATAGTGGAAAATTAAATCCATGAGCAGATTATAAAATGTTTTCTATAGAGACAGATAATGGAGAATAAAGATATAAAAACATTTTCTTGTTTAAACAAATTGAATAAATCAACTAAAATAAATCACTCTGCATATAACAACAGCCAGAACAGGATGTTTGCATATTTTGTGTCTATTGATATTCAGTTTTTTGTCACATGTTGTACAAAATACGAATTCAGGAACTTTTTCTAAATTATTAAATAAAAATTATAATTTCATTAAAACTATGCAATTTACAGTAATTAAAAAACTAGATAGAAAATACACCTGCAACATCTTTTATGATATTACTATTAACTGCATCAACTTTTGAACAGTTGTTATCTGATACAAGAGTGTTAGCTGAATCTTTATCATGAACATCTTTATCAGAGAAAAACTGAGAGTTTTTTTTTTCATCAGGAGTAGGAGATACTAAGTTAATACTAGGTATTTCTTGTTCTTTTTTACTAAAATAGTCAACATTTATAAAAGTTTAATATTTATACTAAAATATTTTTTGTGCATATTAAAATATTTTTTAATTGTGCTTTAAAAAAATATATTTTTTTTTTACTGTGGGCATCTCTCTCTCTCTTTCTCTCAAAATCTTTCTCTCTAAATTTCCATGTAAAAAAAGGAGTCACAACAGATAAACCAGAGATGTCTAAAATGTGTAAGGAGTAAATGTGAGATGTCCAAAATCCTGTTTATGACTACTCGCCTTTCAGCCAATAAGATTTATTTTTATCAAGAACATAATACTTTTATGTTTACTGAAATGATGGATATATGCCAATACACTATATGCCAGAGTATCTTAATTTATGAAAAAGTATGATATGTAAAAGGAGCATTTCCCACAAAACAAAGTTTGTTGCAAAAGGTACAGGTACTACAGGTAAAATATTTACAGAAAAGTTTAACATTAGTTTAGATTATTTTTTGTAAAGATACATGTTAAGTTGTAAAGATATATTAATCTTAGGCTGTAATTAATTAATGTTAAAAATATGTTAATTAATAATTAATTTAAAAAATATGTTAACTGCTATTGTGAGTGAATTAAAGATCCAGGCTAGGTATGGCATGACTTTAAAATTTTCAAATTGTTTTTATTTTAGGATATTTTGTATAAAAAAATAAAGTTATGGATTTATTAGAACATACTTTGATTCTATGGGGGAAAAATTATGGGCACGCAAGGACCTGTAAATGAGTAACCCTTTAAACAGCTGTGGTGCAGTGGTGGCGCACTTGCCTCAGAAACAATGGACCTGTGGTTCAAACCTCACTTGAGCAAATGAGGTTTGAACCACGGCAAGTTTGCCGACCGATGTCGCAAAACTTGCCTAAAAGTGGGGTTTGAACCACAAATTGGTGTGCTTGTCCAGAAAACTTGCTTAAAAGTGGGGTTTGAACCAAGACTTGGTGCACTTGTCAATGTCGTAAGTTTTACAACATTGACAACTTCCAATTAAATACTCATCCGCGGTGCTCTGTGATAAGACCATAAGGACTTCTTGAGGCACCTATATAAAATTTAAAAAAAAAACCTAATAAAAACAATTTGTTCAATGCAGCATACAACACATAACAGTGACAGTCTTTATTCAAAAGTAAATATTATTTGGTATTCCTATGCACATAGCTCACAGTATGTAAAAAAAAGTTTAAATTTCTAAGAAATTAGAAATTTTATTAAAAAAAATAAGTGGTGCTAAAATTTATTATTTTGTTCAAAATATCTGGAAAAAAAAGACATTGTTACCAGACTTAAAATAATTATAAATATTAAAAAAAAAGCAAATTTTTTAAAATAATTTGATTTTAAATATCAAAGGAATTTAGGTTAGATTTTTCAAAAATATGATTCTTAAACTCACTTTTTCAAACTCAATATATATATATATATATATATATATATATATATATATATATATATATATATATATATATATATATATATATATATATATATATATATATATATATATATATATATATATATATATATAATGTTAGTGTTTTCTACAAAAAGAGTGCTCAATGTTCTTAAAGAACAGAGCAATAATAATTTAGTAAAAACACTTATCTAATTTTTGTGCTCTTCAACAGCATGTTTCACCATGAGTAAGGTTCATCAGGAAGAACCTGATGAACTTACTGATGGTGAAACATGCTGATGAAGAGCACAAAAATTAGATAAGTGTTTTTACTAAATTATATATATATATATATATATATATATATATATATATATATATATATATATATATATATATATATATATATATATATATATATATATATATATATAATATATATATATATATATATATATATATATATATATATATATATATATATTATATATATATACCTATATATATTATAAACAGGTCTTGCTATGAGATTTTGATCCGTAACGGAAAAGTGCAACCTAAATAAATGTAACTTTATTAAATAAAGATATTTAAATTGTTAAAAGTTTAATTGCGTCAGTTGCGTAGTTTAAAATACCTCATCTTAATTAAATTCAAAAAAAATTAGAAATTATTGTAAATCTTTTGAATGAAATATTTTTAAATTAAAAATATTGCTATAAAAAACTTATAAATTAAATTTAAACTTTGATTAAAAAATAATTTCCTTGTTTTAAAATCTTATACTTATTTACAGTTTAAATTTAAAACTTAATTCTTTTTCTTTAAAACATTCTTTTTACGGTTATTTTTTTTAAACGAGTAGACACTTGTTTATGATTGATTTTCTTCAAGGTGGTAGTATGGTCAAAAACTTCAAATTTTTTGATTTTTTGAATATAACCTTTCTTGGCATTTGCATTCATGCTGAAAACGATAATGTTATTTATTTTTTAATAAAAATCCTCTATTTTTCATTAAAAAATTAGTACTAAAAAATATTGCTCCTTAGCAATGGCATAGAAACAAATGTAAACATCATGTATATCATCTTATTGAACTGCTTGAACCAAGACTTTTTTATAGTAAGTTTTGAGAAATTACTTAGTGATATTTGGTGTTTTTTTTTGCAGTGAATAATTAAAAAAAATAAATAAATACATTATATAAACTGTTAACATTTCTTGCTATGATTGTTAGATGACTTGCATAATAAAAGTTTTCTATTTCAGTTACTGATGTTTAAAAGAACTAGAGTATAAATGTTTATTATTGTTTTTAAATTATTTAGTGTAGATTAAAATAAATTTATTATTTCTAATCAATTAATATGAAAACTGAAGCTTTAAGAAGAAGAAAAATTGGTGCCTCAAAAGTTTTTAAAAAAAGAAAAAGCACTTCAAAAAAATAAAGTTTGGCAATTTTTCCCCAAAATAAAGATACTTCTGTGAACAAAGAATTGTCATTAATTGACAGAAATAACTTAAGTATTTTACCTAACTTAACAACATCAACCAGTAATGTTATAGCCAGTGATGAACCTTTTCTACAACCTCAAAGTAATAAAAACGAGTCTAACTATGTTTTAATTGATCTTGATATGATTGTACAAATTCTTACATTAGTTGGAACATGACCTGACTGTGAGAGCAAATCAATTAATATTAATATAGATCACAAAAATAAAAAAGGTTTAAGTTCTTTGTTGCTATTGAGTTGCGCTAAGTGTTCATGGAAAACAAAGTTCTATACTAGTTAAAAAGTTGTAAGTAAAATTTCTGAAAAGTCTTTTGATATAAATTAATGTTCAGTAGTTGCGATGCGTGAAATTGGAAAAGGGCATAGTGCATTAGAAAAACTATGTGGTTTTTTAAACTTAACCACCTACAATTCAAAAAGCCACATTTAATGATGTTCAAAACAAAATATTGCTGTCATATAAATGTGTTGCAACGCAATCAATGATTAATGCAGCTCTTGGGTTTATATTGAGAGATGATACTGGAGTTTCAGATATTACTGTTTCTTGTGACGGTACATGGCAGAAACGAGGACATAACTCCTTAAATGGTATAGTAACTGTTACTGCAGTTGATACAGGAAAATGCCTTGACTATCATGTTCACCCAAAAAAATGTAAAGCTTGTGAACTCTGGGAGGATAAGTTTACCTCTGATGAATATGAAGAGCTTATGCAAAAACATAAAAATGATTATCACCTTAATCATATTGGATCTGCTGGATCTATGGAAGCAGCAGGACTTGTCAAATGTTTTGATGCCTCTGTTTTAGAAAGAAAATTAAGGTACATAAACCATCTTGGGGATGGTGACTCTAAAGCATTTTCAGACATTCAAAAACAAAATCCATATGGAAAAGAAATAACTAAGCTTAAATGTGTAAGACATATTCAAAAAAGAATTAGAGCGAGATTAAGAAAATTAAAAGTAACTAATAAAAGCTTATTAAGTGATGGTAAAAAATTAGGGGGTGTAGGTCATCTTACGGACAAAAAAATTAACAAATTACAAATTTTGGAATTGCGATTCGTCAGTGTTGTGGGAAATCTGTTTATGAACTATAGAGCTATAGGAGCTGTATTATTTCATTGCTCCGAGACATCATCTTCTGATGTAAGACATGCTATGTGTCCTCAAACTAATAATACTTGTTTCAAATACCAAGCAGATAAAATTAATAAAACAAATGTTTATAAAGAAAAGCCTGGACTGCATATTATTATCAGAGACATAATTAAACTAGTACTTATCAGAGACATAATTAAACTAGATTTATCAGATGAAAATTTGTTAAAAAAGTGCCTTCATAGAAAAACTCAAAACAATAATGAAGCCTTGAATGCAATAATTTGAAAACGGTGTCCAAAAGATGTTTATGTGGACCAACTGCTTTAGAAATAGGTGCAGCATCAGCTGTTATTAATTTCAATGAAGGATTAGCTGGTATGTTAAATGCTTATTCAGAGCTTAGTATTAATCCTGGAAAAAACTATATTATATTTTGCAATCAAAGAGATAGTCAAAAAATTAAAAAATATTGAAAAAAAATCAACTGATGAGGTAAAGCAACGTCGGAAACAAATAAGGGCAAAATGAAAAGGTTATAGTGATCAAGATGAAGAAAGTGAAGGAATATCTTATGGCACTGAAGTTTTTAGTGATTTTACTATTTTTCAATTAATTCAACTATTTGTTTTAAAAATTTAAATTTCATTATCATAATTTCTACTTTTTTTAAAAAACTTTTTTTTATTTCAAAATTTTTATATTTTACTTCACAAGGATACTAACCTCTTTATGGTTCTTAAAAAATTAATTAAGACTCATTACAAACTTAGTTTATTAACATTGCCATTAGCTAATACATTGAGGAATGATTAGAAATCTTTGAAATAGAATCAGAGCTTATTTTAGATTTTAACTTGTTTTTTTCAATGTTATTTTTTTTTAAATTACTGTTTCTCAGAACAACATTATTGAGCACGGTGCAATAAACAACGTGAGAACTACTTGTAATGGTTCTTTAAAATTTTGCCCTTACAGTTGTAGAAAATCTCATTGAAGCAGTAATAATATATATCATAAACTCATGAAGCAGTATATTTTTTGATACTATTTTTTGGCAGAGTTATGGACTTTTAAAGGGGGCTTTTTTGGGGTAAAATTTGATCCCGTTAGTTGTATATACTGTATCCCCTTGGTGCTTTAAGCTAACTTTATAATTTTGCTTCCATGAGTTCTTTAATATATTACAAGTAAACACTGAAAGTTTGAGTTTTATAGCACCTACCATTGTCTCAATATTTATCACAGGGCCTTTAGACTTTTTTATGTTTCGCGACCCAAAACTTGGATCATAATGCAAAATTTTGATTTTTTTTTCCCCATCTTTTATGCAGTTTTTAAATATTGTTTGTTTAGTTAAAAAAAACGATTTTAAAATTTTGACCATACTACCACCTTAAGGGATTTAAGTGTACTTCTACACAATTAGATTAAGTTTTCCTCTTTTTAAAAAAACCTTTGCGTTAACTGGCTTTTGATTAAATTAAAAATTGTAATTAAACGAAGATTACCGCTTTTCGGCTTTGTTTTTTTTTATTTTCCATTAAAATATTTTATTTTAATGAACTGTGAAACCTAAAGCATTTTTACTATTTCTTACTAAATCCAAAAAGAAAAATAGTATTTTTGGTTTTACGATGTTATTAGCAGAACTTGTTTTTAACAAATATCAGTATAATTTTAAAATGTATGTATCTTACATCTATAGCACTAGTATTAGTTTTGTTTTTAAAACAAAATAAATATAAGTTGGGCTTTTAAAGAGTTTATTTATTGATCGCGTTGTTTTTAATCGGTTTAAGATTTAGTTCGTTTTATAAAAAAAATTCTACTGCATAAAACTTAACGACAAACATATATATATATATATATATATACATATATATATATATATATATATATATATATATATATATATATATATATATATATATATATATATATATATATATATGTATATGTATATATATATATATATATATATATATATATATATATATATATATATATATATATATATATATATATATATATATATAGAGAGAGAGAGAGAGAGAGAGAGAGAGAGAGATATACACTCTAGCTAGGTCGTCTTTAAGTTTTTACCATAAAATGTCAGCTTTAAGTTGTTTTTTTTATTTTAAAGACCAGAAAAAATCTTTTTTTTTTTTTAATTATTTGATAGATTACCTGCCCAAAGAAAATCCTCAGTCGATGTAGCAGCACTCCATTGCGAGTCAGGCTATAAGATAGTCAATGTAGCAACATTCCGCGCATGTTTTACAGTTAAAAAATAAAAGTAAAAACATTCAGAATGTTTTTATTTTTAAAAAATAAAATAAAAACATTTAGAATGTTTTTAAAAACATTCTTGTCTTTTAATTTGTGGTTTTGTAGTTTAATTACTTCCTACAATTAAATTAACGTGTTTTGACATAATCTAACCTTAATTTTGTCAGCTTTAAAACCACAAGCAAGCGAAGAGCTATTTTTTACCACAAACACATACATTTGTAAATGATGTTTTTCGCTCTACAATCTTTATTCAGCAACACTGAAATCAGCAGTGAAAAAACTCGAGTCATAAATCAATGCAGAAAATCGCTATTATTTTTTAAAATGAAACATGGATTGACAAGGTGTATAATGATTGTTTTGACGTCACGATGGGTTGTTTCAATGGAGCCAAAGTATGTGAACTGGTGGGTTTATACATTCTAGGCTCTTTATCCAAAACCATTACTAAAAATGATATAGGTCTTTACCAAGACGACGGATTGATGGCAATGCGCAAAAAAGCTACCGCACAGTTAAATAAAATCAGAATATAATTGAGATATTTAAAAAGATCCGATTTCAAATAGAGATTCAAACCAATCTAAACAGTGTTAATTTTCTTGATGTAACTTTTAATCTTTGAAAAAACTCCTACCAACTTTTTAAAAAACAAAATAACCAACTGCCTGCCCTAAATCCTTAAGCAGATCCCTCTCTCCATTAATAATTGACTATCGCAAAATTCTTCTAATGAAAAAATATTTAACGCATCAAAAACAGAATACGAAGAAGCACTTAAACAAAACGGATTTAAAAACTTTAACTTAAAGTACAACCCAAAAAATAAGACACCTCCCAAAAGAAAAAGGAATATAATTTGGTTTAACCCACCCTACAATAAAAGCGTCTCTACCAATGTTGGCCTAATCTTTTTGCAATTAATAGATAAACATTTCCCACCTTCAAACCGATTGCATAAACTATTCAATCGAAATGCTACAAAAATTAGCTACAGCTGTTCAAACAACATTTCAAAAATCATAAAAAGTCACAACAAAAAAATAAACTTAATTAACACGACTGAAAATCTCACTTGCAATTGCAAACAAAAAGAAATCTGCCCGCTGAATAAAAATTGAAGAACAACAAACATTATTTACAAATGTATATTATCTTCCCCAAACACGCCCAGCAAAGCATACATTGGTTTATCGGAACGAGTGTGGAAAAAGAGGTATGCAAACCACAAGCAACCATTTACAAATAAGAAATATTCAAATGCAACCACTCTCTCAAAACATATATGGGAAACTAGAGGAAAACTGAAAGAAACACCAGAATTAACTTTATTAAGTTTACCTTAAAAAGAATTAAGTTTATCTTAAGTTTACCTTGAAAAGAATTAAGTTTATCCTCAAAAAAGCCCCTGCCTACAACAATACAACAAAAAATGTTTACTTTGTTTATATGAAAAACTGATCATTTTATTTTATAAAAATACTGAAGAGCTACTTAATAAAAAAACAGAGTTAATTTCCAAGTGTCCTCATGAAAATAAATTTCTATTAAGCAACCACAAACCTGAAGATTAGATACACGCAGTCGTAACAATAAAAAAAGTTTTTTCTCTATAATTTCAATTGTATATAATTTTTAAAAAAACAAACTATATTTGTATTTCACCTGATGATTGTAACAGCATGAAACTTAAAGTTGTAAAAATCACATAGTTTTATTTTCTACTATATATATTATAGCTCTGACTTAGTTCATCAAGCACTTTCTTGATAGTATATGCATAAAATAGCATCACTACATATTTTTATATATATATATATATATATATATATATATATATATATATATATATATATATATATATATACATATATATATATATATATATATATATATATATATATATATATATATATATATATATATATATATATATATATATATTGTTTTTTTAATATCAAAAATATAATATTCAAATATTATAAATGCAATAATCATTTTTTGTAAATATTCAAAATACAATATTAATATATTAAAATATAAACTTTTTTTGTAAAAGTTTAAATAATTTTTAAAAACTATTAATATTACTTTTTTATTTAATTAAAAATAATGTAAATAATATTGCCACATAACTTTAAAAGCAAAACATACCTTTCACAAACAAACTTATCAATAGAATGATTAACTTCCTATATTAAAAAAAAAAAATTTATAAAAGAGTTTTTAGGTTAACTTTGTTAAATATTTAGTGGTAAAAATGTTAAGGAACTCATTTTTGATAATAGATTTCTTGTTTCTGGTAAAAGTATAATGAGTTGTTAGAAACCTAATAAAAATCAGAATAAAAAAATCAGAAATACTTGATTATGATTCATCTTCGTCATCATTATCATCATCATCATAATCATCATCATCATCATCATCATCATCATTATCATCATCATCATTAGACAAATTTCTGTATATAAACTCTATATTTTTACTGAAGATTCCTATTTCACAACGGTTGACGATAATGTTATAGTTTTTTCATCAATAGTTCAGAAATTTTTTAGATTCATTCATTAGAGACATTCTTAATTTAATTTTTATTTAAGTAAATGACTAGCACTAATCTTAAAAAAATAGGAAAGTAATTTACTCATTTTACTAACACAAATATCTGCTGTTTTTGAAAAAAGAGAAAAAATATTTGTTATTTTTTCTATTGTGTATTTGTAGCTATTTTTGACTAGTAAATGTTTTTTTTTAACACACTTTTGCAAAATACATCACAAATGTTTTATTTTGTGAAACATTTTTTCCAAAATATTTTTGTGTCTTTTTTAATGCTATGTTATTTTGACAACTCATCTCATAAAGGATTTGTTAAGGCAACTTATTCTATTATCTCCTAATACTGCTCTAAAACTCAGTTTTATAGTTCTGAGGCCAGCCGATAGTCAAGTTTTCTAAACTCTTTGCTAGCTCTCAGAGAAGCTGAACCCATCAACGGCTAAAAAGTATCAGAGCATTAACAGTTGCGCATGGATAGTGTCGCTGTTCAAATATTTGACATTGTACATTTGGTGTACATTGTTGAGGCCACATTTGGACTCTTTGATAGGGCTTAGAGTTTATTAAAAGTAATAAGGCAATTGCTTTGACTATTAAATAGTGTACTTGGTACTATCTATGCTTTGAGTCAAGTTCCTTAACAAATTTTAAACTAAAGTACCAAAAACTATAGAACACAAAAAACCATCATCATCACAAAGTTCTCTAAATCATTCACTAATATTCATGGTCTTTGAAGTAACTTTTCTTCTATTGAGTAGTTCACCAGACCTACTTGCTCTTTGTGAGAATAATTCGAGTTAGGCTGTCTTATCTTGTGATTTTAGTGTTGATAGTTATCTTCCTTTAACTCATAAAGACTCAAAAAGTCACATGCTTGGCCAGGGCATTTACATTCATAAGAATTCACCCATTTGTCAGGGAACTAGTTTCAATTCACAAACTACTTTTTTATGTACTTTCGTTTTGTACCACTTCACTATATCACCTTTCTCTTTGTTCTATATTGCTCTCCTTCATCTTAAAACTGCATTCTTTTTTATATTATTTTTGATTGAATTGACCAAGCCCTCACTCTTTATCCATCAGCCAATATTGTTGTTGTTGGTGACTTTAATGTCCATCACACTGAATGGCTCGGCTCTAGTGTCAGTGACTCTGCTAGCGTTATAACCCACAACCTTTGCCTTTCTTAATCTCTAACTCAAATAGTCAACTTTCCAAGCTTTCTAGACAATTCAAATCATTTATTTTCTCTACTCGGCGTTTTTCTAACATGAAAGCCAGCTATTCTCAGGTTATGAAATCTTGTATTTCATCACAAAAATTAGAAGCTCGTGACTTCTGAAGAATCTTTAACAGTATCAATATTAAAGGCAAATCTGTTATTCCACCTTTCTTGTATGGTTCAGACTTTGTCACCTCATCTGAAGTCGAAATGTTTACCTGACATAGCCTTGTAGAAGTGTTATCTGGAGCTGTCGTCTATATTTTTAAAACTATTTAACAAGTGCTTATCAGAGGGATAACAGATAAAATAGGGATATCAGAGGGATAACAAAAAAGGGGATAACAGATGCATCTGTTATCCCCTTTTTTTGAAACTCTGGAAAGCGATCTGACTTGTCAAACTATTGTCTCATTAGTCTTTTTCCTATCACAAGCAAGGTTTTTGAATATTTAATTAACAAACACTTAATCTTGAATCTTGAATCTATTAACTTACTTTCTGATCATCAATATGGATTTCAATCTTCTCGTTCTACAATTGATTTGCTAACAGTATTAACCGACAGGTTTTATCCTGCATTAGATAGAGGAGGAGAGGTTAAGGCTATCGCCCTTGACATTTCTAAAGCTTTTGATAAAGTTTGGCATGCTGGTCTTCTCCATAAGCTTACTTCTTACAGTGTATCTGGTAACATCTTAAAGATTATTGAATCCTTCTTTACCAATCATAGTATAAAAGTTGTCTATGACGAACAGCACTCTTCTTCATATCCTGTAACTTCAGGGGTTCGTTAAGGTTCATTCGGTGGCCCTATACTCTTACATTACATTAACAATCTTCCAGAAATTCTTGCATCTAAGGCAATGTTCGCTGATGACACTACCACTACACCCTCTGATTGCTTACACTCTCTGAATACTTGGAGGGGGCATGTGAGCTCCCTCCAAGGATCTCACAGTGGCTGGTGAACTTTAATTCAGAAAAAACCCAATTTTTTTCAGCCAATCATTGTTGCAACAACTTAGATCTTTCTATATTTATGAACGGTAATGCACTTAATGAGTCATCTACCCTTCAGGATTGACTCTTACTTCCGATCTTTCTTGGAAACCGTATATCAACTCAATTGCAAAATTAGCATCTGCTAAGGTTGCATCTCTTGATTGTGCTTGACACTTTCTTACTCCGGATTCTATTTTTTATCTCTACAAATCTTAAATCCATCCTTGTATGGAATACTGTGGACATATATGGGGTGGATCTTCTAAGATTTCTTTTCTCTTTTAGTCAAGGTTCAAAAACACATTTAAACATAATTGAACTTGCTCTTGCAGCCAACCTCCAACCATTATTACATCGTCATAATGTTGCTTCACTTTGTCTTTTCTATATTTTCTATAATGGGTACTGCTCTAAAGCTAGTGTTTCCTGTGCTTTTTAGTAAATTTTATTATCGCAGGCCTTGTTACGAGATTTCGCTGCGTAACGGAAAAGCGAAACGTGAATAAATGTAACTTTACTTAATAAAGATATTTATATTGTTAAAAGTTAAATTACGTAAGTTGCGTTTTTACTTCATTGTAATTAAATTTAAAATGACATTAAAAACTATTGTTAGTGTTTGAAACAAAATAGCTTTGAACAATATTGTTATAAAAAAAAAAAAAATTTCAATGTTGATTAAAAAAAAGTCTTCTTGTATTTAAGTCTTATACTTATTTAAACTTAATTTTTTTGCTTTTAAACATTCGTTTTATGGTTGTTTTTTTTTTAAATATTTTTTTAAAATAATTTAAATTTAACACTTGTTTATGGTTGATTTTCTTAAAGGGATTTAAATGTACTTATAACTAAACGCATAGATTGGGTTTTCCCCTTTTAAAAAAAACGTTTGCACTAACTGGTTTTGAAAAAGTTAATGTTGTAAAGAAACGAAATTTACTGCTTTTTCGGCTAGTTTTTTTTTTTATTTCCATTAAAATATTTTTTTTTTATGTGCAGTGAAACCTAATATTTTTTTACTCAATCCAAAAAAAAAAAAATAGTGTTTTCGGTTTTAAGATGTTATAAGCAGAATTTGTTTTTAACGAATGTCATTATAATTTTGAAACTTATATTTATAGCTCAAGTACTAGTTTTGTTTTTAAAATAAAATAAAGATAAGTTGGGCTTTTAAAGAGCTTATTTACTGATCGCGTTATTTTTAATAGGTTTAATTTTGGTTTGTTCAAGGACGTATTGTTAATACGTCCTTGGTTTGTTTAAAAAAAAAAATTCTTCGGCAAACGGCAAAGGGAAAACCCAAACATAACATTTATAACTCGAGTTTAAAAGTATTGATGTCATTTATTAACTTGTAGTTATAAAATGAATAATGCGCTTCTGTAAATAATGAATGAAACTGTAAAATAATGGAAAAATAAAAACTGGAAAATAATGCGCTTTTGTTAAGCGCATTATTCAGACCAGTATTTGGAACTTACCTGAAACTTAACTAAAATTAAAATAAAGTTATATGTAATACGAACATTTTAAAGTAACTTGAATTAAATTTATTAAATCTTTTTTTACTTTGGTAATTTTATCATAAAAAAACAGAGCATTTTAAAATTAAAAAAATTTAAAATGCTCTGTTTTAAAATTAATTAAAAGAATTTTAATTAAATTTAATAATTTATTTACTAAAAACTATAATTAATAAAAAATATTTAAATTTAATAAAATAAATTGAAAGTATTTCTTTTTTTAAATTTAATTGTTTTTAAACTTATGAAATATAAAACTTAATATTAAATATGATAAAAAGTTTAAACTTAAAACACTTATTTTTTTTTTAACTAATTTTTAACAACAACAACAATAAAAATAATTAAACAAATTTTTCTTTAACAAAAAATCTATTAGTTTACAATTGCGGTTAAATGCTTTTACTTACGACTTTATTTTCTTCTGAATAAACGTCACATAAACCATATAAAAAGATAATTTAAATATTCTAAAAGATAAAAGTTTTTGCGTAACGCATAACTGCTGAACGCGTAGGCAAATCGCCTTTTCGCAGGCAAAACGCGAGCTGCAAAACGCTTCGTAACAAGGCCTGTATCGTATTACTCGTCATTCAATTATGTCTCAATTTTGTGACTGTTCCTATGTGCTCCGAAAACTCTTATTTGTCTAGAATTCTAAAGAACTTGAACATCAGTTCTTTGGAATTCGCTTCCTTCATCTTGCTTTTCTGATTCATATAATTTGCAATATTTTAAGTCGTCTGTCAATAATTATCTCGCTCTATAAACTTCATCCTCTCTCTTTTAGTAACTTCCAACTCTAATAGAGGTTGCCTTGTTGGAAGCGAAGATGTTAAAAATTTATAAAAATTAAAAAGTGATATCATTTAGATTT